GGAAAGAGAGAGCTGAGAGAGAGAACAGAAGGGGAGTCAGGGAGGCAGAGAGAGCAGGGGAGAGGCCGTGTCCAAGGTTCCCCTAGGTTTTCTCCAGAATTCCACAGCTCTGACGCTCAGGTGCTCAGAAAGTGACCATGCTGTGTTGCTGGCAAAAGACACCTGTGACTGGGCTCAGAGCTCGAGAGTGGGTGGGGGAGCAGCCAGTGCCGCCTGGGAGGCGGAGGCATAGTACTCCAGGCCAGATAACTGGCCAAGTACGTTTCATCCAAAGTCTGACATGCTACATGGGCGGCTCCAGATTTGTGCCCAGCCCGGATGTGCGAAGGTTTCACACCAGCTGCCATCTGGAGCAATGTCCATGTGCCAGGCATGCATTGTCCTGTGGAGGCTGGTCCAGCTGTCGCCCCCAAATTTAAACTGACCACTATCCAGACATGTCACTATATTGAACAAAAACTCAGCTGTAGTTTAAATACCTGTTTTGGGGGGGGGACTTATCTGGAACTGTGGGAGGCAGATGCACACTGAGGCACAAGGATGGGAACATGCCTTCTTTAGTTCCCTTCCAACATGGCTGCCCTGCTGAGGGGCACTGAGGCAACAGCTCTGGGCCAAGAAGGGCTAAGAAGGGCTGGCCAGTGAGGTCAGGCAAATCGGGCTGCTCTCCTCACACACTCCACCCAAACTCTGACCTCCCTACCACCCGTCTGCGCCACCTCCCTGTACCTAAGCGGTCACTTTCTGTCCCCGCATCTCAGCTGTGGGACCCCTTCCACCCTCCTGGGATGGTAGTTGGGACAGGAACACTGGCTTTTAAATCACAATGCGTTTGGAGAACAACCACAAAACAGCTCAGCCCAAGAAACCAAAACCAAATAGCACAGACACAAGACAGAACCAAAGACGATCGCTTTGGGGGGAAAGGGGATCGGGTGAAGGGAACGGGAGGGGTTAGAAACAAAAACCAATCGATCCCCGCCCCCAGTGAAACAAATAAATCAACAAAAAGAAAAGAAAAAAAAAAAAAGTAAAAGAGAACAAAAGAAAACCAAAAGAGAAAAACGGAACAGAAGACGAGAAACACTCCAACAGAAGGCGTTGGGAATTCACCAAACCAAACCGACAAGAGTGGCATGCAGAGAAATTTTTACATTCTCCCAGCATGCATCAGGCCCAAGTTACCATGACGACGAGGAGTGCAAAAAACTTAGCAACAACATTACCAACGGATGCAGAGGCGACCACAATGCAAGCATCGCATGTGTGCGGCCGGCCCTAGGCCGGGCTGGGCGCGGCTGAGATTTTCGTGTCTTTCTGGGTTTTGCTCTCGCTTGGCGGTTTTTTGGTTTTGTTTTGATTGTTTCTCATTCATATTCCATTTTGTCAAGTTCATTTCTCTATTGTTTGTTTTTTTTTTCCGTGTGCGTGTCTGCGTGTGTCCGTGAGGTGTCTGCGTGTGTTTCGTGTGTGTGCGTGTCATTTTTTTTTCAGAATGTAAAAATGTGGGTAAAGAAAGTAAAAAAGAAAAAAACACACCAACCTTCTCGAAGCTCTGAGGAATGTAAAGGGGGTTTGATGCGGAACACAATGACATGGGGAGAAGAGAAAAAATAGGGGAGATACAGAGAGTAAAAAGAGGACTTCCCAAGGCTAAAGCTGCAATCGTTTGTTGTTTTTTTTTTTTTTCTTTAAACCAAAAAAAAAAATTAAAATTAAAAAATAAAAAGAATAGCAATGACCTTTTTTTTTTTTCTCCTTTCCTCCACTCTGCCCTTGACATACAAGATCGACATTCGTCTTTCTCGATTCTTTTTCCAAAATCCAATTTGGAGCGTCTGAGACCCAGGGGGAGACTGAAGGCTGGACCTAGCCCCTCATCTGTCCCCAGAAGCAAGGCGGCTCGTGCTGGGGACCCCACCTCCGGGGCTGAGGACGCGCAAGGCCCCCTCCCTTCTCGCGCTCTCGCTGAAGGCCCCGCCCCCGCCCAGCACCCGCTGCCCACTCTCTCTCGAGCCCTGCCGGGCTGACAAATCCCCGTCCCAGATGTTGGCAGAGAAATAACCAGGTTAGGCGAAGACCAGACAGACTCATGGATGCATTACCACTCACCAGAGGCACCGTGCGGCGGGTCGGACGTGCCCCCTGCCCGCCCGCGCACCCGCAGCCCTGCCCCTCCCTCCATGCGGCCCTCCTGAGACAAGCCCTGACACCCAAGGTCCAGGGCCAAGGGGTGGCTTCCGGGCTGCGTAGTGAGAGCTGTGCTCGGCGGGGACGAAGGGGTGAGGGCCCGAGGAAGGGCAGGGACGTCCTGGCCCCCCGCGGGGGGACGGCCAAGGCTTGGTGCAGCGCTTGGGGAGACTGAGGCCAGGAGAAGGGCGTGGTCGAGGCCATGGTCAGAGCTGAGCGGGACAGCCCTGCGGCCTGCTCGGGGCATCCCTATCTACCGGGAAACCGGTCGGAAAGAGCGACAGGTGGGCACGCAGGAGGCGGCGGCGGCCACAGAGCGCAGCTGCCGGAAGGGCCCGAGGGAGCAGACAGGGAGCCCCTGGAACTGAAGGGCGGCGCCACGGGACCCGAGGGAGGTCTTCCTGGGGTGGGTGGGAGCTGCCCGGGGGGCAGGACCCCAGCCTCCTAGGCACGACCAGGAATCAGATCGAGGGCGAGCCGCACATGCCTTGCTCGCCCGAGCCCCCGGGAGCGTGTGCCTGTCGTGGTCCCCGCCGCCCGCTTCCTACGTGTGCCCCTTCCCGAGGGTCATTAGGAGAACGGTCGAGGGAGCGGGGGCCGGTGAGGGGGACACCCTCGAAGCCCCCGTCCCCGGCTCTAGGACC